TAATTAATCAATACAAACAAATTACAATTATTGCCGACGATATTTCATGTTATAAAAACGTTGCATAATAGGTTTATTATCAATAAAAGCAAATTACAATTCAAACAAATTACAATTCTTGTCAGGCATTATCTCGAACACTTTGGCCCTGTTTGGCAGATCGTATAGCACACCGGATAGGATAAATAATAGGAATCAAGGTGTTTGGTGTAGCTTTGTACTAAATAATACCCGGATTAATTAAACTGGCCCCACACGTTTTATACGGTGTACGCCCGCTACCTTATCCGCCCAAAATCCTATGTATTATTAGTCGGGTTGTCTTTCGCTTCCTCCGTCCGCCTCGTCGTTCTCGTTCCTTCCCTTCTCGCATCGCGCGCTGCATTGTCTGAGGTTCTTCTCCTCCTCCTCCACCTCATCTCCTCCCTGCTCTGCCCAAAACCAATCCCTCTTCTTTATCCCCAATTTCTCTATCCACCTGAAAATTTCTTCTTCTCTCTCTGTTCCACCCAAACCCAACCGCTTTCGTTTTTCCAATTTTGCTATCCAGTCTCACCTGCAAATTTCTTCTTCTTTTCTATCTGTTCCGTCCAAACCAACCCCTTTTCGTTTTCCCCAATTTTGTACCTGCAAATTTCTTCTCCTTCTCTATCTGTTTCGCCCAAACCCAACCCTTTTCGTTTTCCCCAATTTTGCCATCCAACCCCACCTGCAAATTTCTTTCTTCTCTATTTGTTCCGCCCAAACCCTACCCCATTTTGTTTTCCCCAGTTTTGTTTTTGGCTAGAGGACGAAAATTATGCACAATTTCGTTGAGTAATATTAAAATTTTACTTCTTTATTCCTATCTATTTGTCCAATCCAGTTCCCTCTGCAACATTTGGAGAACTGTAATCGAGTGGGGGTGCAGCTGAACTTCTGGAATTACGCTCCATGTTTGCTGCTTGGATTGGTGTACTTCCTCAGCAATTCTCTTGCAATTGAGTTTCGGGTTGGATTGAAATTTGGGTTTTGATAATTGAGAGAAAAAATCAAATTAACAGTTTTAATTTTGTTGATTTTGTAATCTGTGATGTTTTGTTACGGTTCGCTGAGGGTGGGATTTTGGGGGTTTGCGGTGGAGAGATCTGGGAACAAAAGAGAGGATTTCCGTTTTTTTTTTTTAAAAAATTTTATTTTAAGTTTGATTCCTCCTATTCGGTATAATACCAAGCATAGTATAAATAATACGATTATTAGTCCGATACTGCACCAAACGTCCGACTAATTTAGTCAGTACTGTCCGGTGACTATTTATCCTATCCGACAAAAATAGTCAGTACAGTCTGAGCTGCCAAACGAGGCCTTTAGCTGCATCCTCAACCGACCCGCATTTCCCATACATTGCAATCAACGCATTGCCTACAAACACATCCGAAATCAGTCCCATCTATTGATCAAATCCACAAACACATCAATGGCATCAACAAAAAGCTCGTTTCTTGCATACCCACTAACAAGCGCATTCCACTGGAACAAGTTCTTGTTAACTACATTGTAGTGTTTGGGAATTGAAGAGAAAATCAAGAAGAAAGATGAACACATAAAGTTTGAGAGAGAGTTGAGAGAGAGAAATAGGATTTATATTGATTGACAAATGAATATTACACACTCTGTCTTTATAACTCTGTTTTTATAAGAGAAATTCTAACTACTTTAACCAAATACTAACAAACTTACTAACTATATTACTAACAGTATTACACTTGTACCCTTAATACTCCCCCTCAATCTCAACTGGGGAAATCCAGTTTGAGATTGGAAGAACATATCTGCAATCACTAAATGTTCATTCATTGAAAACCAGCAATGCCCAGATTCAGAAACGAGTGGCTGAAATACTTGGTCAGAACAATCTCTTAAACCCACAAGAGGATTGCAATGGCAACTTGTATACCCGCTGGAAGTGGCAGACTCCACTGTAGGGTGAAAGACATCAAGGGACAAGGTTGTAGAAGGACTTCTTGGATTGCCAGTGTTGTATTTAGTGGATGCATACAGAAAGACTTTTCATGGTCACAAGTGGTATCAAAGTTCTTGCAGATCCAAAGATGTAACTTTTCCCCATCTCCAATTAACGAGAACTCAAAGACCTTAAGAACAGTCACTTCATCGAGCTTGAGAGAGGACTCTGTTATGCCCTTGAAGTGGCAAAACATGGATCTGTAGCCGTGATTACCAAGGCTGAACCTCATGAGAGCAATACAAATTACGCTCAAGGTGGTGTTAGTGCTTTGCTTTTGCTCCTCATGTTCTTCTCAACTACGATCCCACAAACATAAACCTAAAACCATACTTAAACTGACAGGTATCCATACTCAAACATGCTACCTGTACAGATGTTACTTGCTCACTAAACTGACAGGTATTGAGAACTTAAATCCATACTCAAGAATGGTGCAATTTCATCCCATTATCATCACACATCACTTTTGCAAAATATCAGAACCTGCTCCATAGTAGCAGAGAGCTAGTTTATAAAATATTGCTTTACAATCCATAAACCCAGGGAGCAGTTCTTCAACTTGATTAGCTAAAGCCATGGTATCCCCTGCTACATACAGAGCAAAAGAAAGATGGTCCAAGATTTATGGATCGCACTGAATTCGTCAAAGAACAGCCTCATCAGAAATGCTTCAAATTTCAACTAACAATGTCCACAGAAATTGAACTAATCTTCACAGAAATTCACAGCAATAGCTTCGTGCCCTCAAATTTCAACAACTCTTCAAAGAAATTCACAGAAATGGCTTCGTGCCCACAAATTTCAAGCAACTAATCTTTACAGAGAATGGCTTCGTGCCAACAATCTTTAGCTACTAATGGCTTCGTGCCCTCAAATTTGAACAACTCTTCAAAGAAATTCATAGAAATGGCTTCGTGCCCACAAATTTCAATCAACTAAGAATGGCTTCGTGCCCAAAATCTTTAGCTACTAATGGCTTCGTGCCCAACAACTATTTATCTAGCTAAATCAAACAATAGACTACCAAAGAGAAAAATTTCAAGAAAGAACCTAGAAACAAAGATTCCATTTGGCTTAAGTGTTCAAGAATTGATCACAGCAGATGCAGAAAGGGAAAATTTCAGAACTTTTCACCTGAGATCGAGATTTCCAAAACACACTGCTACACCTTCAGAAAATACCACCGCCAGAAAACCAAAAAGCACTTCCGATTAGCACCACCCAGGAACCCAATTTCGACCTCGAAACTTCATCAAAAACATGACCCAGTAACTTCAAACCAGAATAATCAACCCAACAATCGTAACAATTGCGATCCCAGCAATCGCAGGAAAATCAACCCAAGAACAATCGCAGAAGCATCGAAACTCTAGTGAAAATTTGGAAAGAAACTAAGCTAGAAACAGATGAAAAATAATGGGAAATGGAACCACCAAAATCTAAGGCATGAGCCTGGTGGCTCTGATACCATGTTAACTACATTGTAGTGTTTGGGAATTGAAGAGAATCAAGAAGAAAGATGAACACAGAGAGTTTGAGAGAGAGTTGAGAGAGAGAAATAGGATTTATATTGATTGACAAATGAATATTACACACTCTGTCTTTATAACTCTGTTTTTATAAGAGAAATTCTAACTACTTTAACCAAATACTAACAAACTTACTAACTATATTACTAACAGTATTACACTTGTACCCTTAATAGTTCTTCCTCTTCAGCCCGTCGAAAACTGAGCGGGAATCCAAAGGAGAACCGCACATTGCATACATGGTAATGATGCGTGTGTTGAGAACAAAATCACAGCTGAAAACGGTCAGTGCAGAGACCAAGTTGTGGACTTTGCGTCCAGTTTCGACGTCATTCTGGCGCCCGCAGGCCTGTAAAGAGGCTCCCATGGCGTCCTTCCCTTGCTGTGAGCTGGAAACTGCATCGTGAGAGTGTACTTGAAAAAGGTCAGAGCCTCCGAGAGGTTTCCGTCCTTCCCACGGCCTGGATTTAAAAAAAAAATAGCAATCTGCTGCTGCTGCGCGCAGCAGAACAGATCGCCTAGCAAACAGAGGAGATGAACTAGTGGGTTTTCCGGCTAGGGGAGTGGCGAACCCAGCTCTCCAGTGGTGTTTCCCGGCGAGGGGAGTGGCGGCCGCCACTCCTCGCCCTCACGTGGCTTCACCATTGATTACATGTAATACCTTGTCAACATGGATTCCTCTTTGTTGAAGGAAAACATGTTTATAGTTTCTCAAGTATGTGTACAACTTAACGGCATGAACTTTTGATATCCAACTTGATTACCTTTACATGACAGACTTTAGCATAAAATTAAAAAGTAATGGTAGCAAGTGATTGAGTTCAGAAGTTCTTCACATAAAATTGAAATGCCCCACTACTATTATTGTTTTTCGTATCAGTACGACTTTCATTAAGTTACATATTTAACCGCACATCTGTCTTGTAATAACTACCTTATAGTGATAAAATTGATTTAGTTCTAACTTTATGAGTATATAGAAGTTTTACTATGGGGTGTGATATTCACACACCCTATTTTACTTTTCACACCCTTCTAATTTTCGGCCGTCGAATTGGATGAATTGAGGAAAATCAACAGGTAGAAATTAACAAAAAATGTGTAAGAAGTAAAATGAGATGTGTGGATAGCACATCCTTTTTACTATATATAGCTTCCTCCCGCCGCTAGTTATTCTGAAATTGGTAAATACAAAAGGGAAGTTAGGCCAAGTTTTGTTGGTGGTCCATGTGGTGAAAAAAAACACTAATTAAACACATATGATGAACCCATGCTTGGAGTTGAAACCAAAATTTTTGTTAAAAAATTGCACATGTACTTCAGTACTACGATTTGATGGTATTCCTCCACTGAAAAATGAAAGATCTTAGATTCGAATCTCGTAAACAATGAAATGATACCAAATTAAATTGCCCATTGTGTGGCTTAACCGACCTCCCCCTCCCCCTAGTGTAAAAATATCGATGCACTGGGAAATGAAAAATCTTAGATTCGAATCTCGTAAACAACGAAATGATACCAAATTAAATTGCCCATTATGTGGCTTAACCGACCTCCCCCTCCCCCTAGTGTAAAAATATCGATGCACTCAAAAAAAAAAAAAAAAAAAAAAAATTGCACATGCACCTCGCTACACGGTTGAAATTGCCAATTTCAAACAATCGACTTAGAGGCCATACATAGGATACAAGTAAATAAATCTGTTCCGCTTGCATACTTGCATCATTTCTTCCTCCCTCTATTCTGTAATCTTGAGTTTGAGCAGAGAAAATCGAAAACTAAATGAGACACAAGATTCACTGAAATAGTTATAGGCAAATTGATCGAAAACCAACATCAATTTGAAAGCTGACCTGCGTAAGCAAAAGACAGTTATTTCCCTTGCTCAAAGGACGAAGCTCCACTCCATTGACATGCCAACCTATGTTTTCCATGACTGTCTGTAGGTTATAAACCCCGGCATGACAGTAGCGGTCAGATATAGACAACACAATACCTTCTCTCTTGCCTTGGTAAAGACATCCACATATTCTCATTAGTTTCCAATGCACCATGTTGAAGCCACAACTCAACGTGCAAGGGACAACACTTCATAGCCCTATGAAGCAAAAGTCTCTTATCTTCCTCACCGGCAAGCTCCACGACAGCCTCCCACAGCCTAACAGAATCGGGAATGTGTTCCAAACCTTTCCTCAACACCCTGCTCCTACTCAAATCATCATGCTCCAATTCCGCAGCCTGCCTCCACAGTTTGTCCGAATTGGGAATCAATTTCACTCCCTTCGAAATCAAGGCCTTTGTTTCATCAGGGCTCGCAAGCCTACACGCCTCTAACCACACATCCTCACAACCTTTCCGAATCAATCACCTAGCTACCTGAATGTTCCCAGCCACCACCTCCAGCCTGGCAGCAGCAATCCAACCACGTGGGTGCGTCGGATTCGTCTGTGCCAGCAACCTCGCATTTTCATTATCTGAAATCTCAGCATCACTAGTAGTATTCATATTCTTAAGATCAGTAAGGTACCCTTTCGACTCCAGTTCCTGTCTTGCCTTGTTTGAAAGCGCAGCGGCCACCAGCAGAAAGCTCTTGAATGTCTTCTTGTTCCTCAACCGCCAACCCAGAAACAGAATCTGTAAACTTTGAATGGTATTTGTTATTGAACGACTGGATATGAACATTACAAGGATACATATTACGCATGTGTATATATTACAAGGGTTGGGCTGCTAGCTATGTTACTTGAATTTAACGGAAAGACAATCTCCTACAATCATGGGGAATCCTAACAATCCAGGAATCCATTACAATAAAGGAAACAGTACTGCGCGTGCGAAAGGCGTTTCTTTAATACTTTCTGTTTGCTTAAACCGCTTCTAACAGGTTAATGGATTCGGATCTTAAAAGGATAATCAGTTACACAAGGCGTTTCCTTGACAATGTTTAACATATCACTATCCTATTCCTTCAAGCCTTTCAAACTCAAACAAATGCACGTCGATCATCAATCTTACAGGTCGATGAGGCCTCTTTCATTGTACATACTCAAACAAATGCACGTCGATCATCAATCTTACAGGTCGATGAGGCCTCTTTCGTTGTACATACTCCTACTCGTTCTAGTCCTCTTCCATACCCCTAGTCTGATTGGAGGAATTCTATTTGAAATCAATCTCCTCCTACTCCAAACGAAGACGATAATACAAGCCACCCTGATTTCACTAACTTCACAAAGTACCTACAACTATGTCAGAATGAGAAATTTGGTACGATACAGTTCACTTGGCATATATTCAAACCGTGAGAAAGGGAAAGGGAGGAGGGGTGAGCTGCAAAACACAATGGAGGGGCAAAACAGCAGTTTAACCTTTCAGAAAACCCCTACCAGAGGGAACTGGGAACTCCCTTCTATAAACTCAAGCCAAAAACCAAACAATAAGACACAACACAATAGAAAATGCTTATAATATGATAGCAGACCTTAGTACGTCAAAGACAGTTATTTCCCAACAATGGAAGAAGCTCCTGTTAATTGGCATGGCAGTAATACAGAAAGAAAAGTAGCAGTAGGTATAGTCATTCATTTCAGTGCCAAATCCAGGGTTAAATAACGAGGTGATCCAATATGAGAAATACATTCTTACAAGCAACTGTTCATTTGCATACAAAATTCAGGTACGGAATCTAAGAAGCACAGTACCAACTGAATCTTGGATTACAAGGTTTAAGTCAATCAATGCACAAGAAGATTCAAGAAAAACTATACCAACTGAATCTTGGATTACAAGGTTTAAGTCAATCAATACACAAGAAGATTCAAGATCAACTATACCAACTGAATCTTGGATTACAAGGTTTAAGTCAATCAATGCGCAAGAAGATTCAAGATAAACTAGCAAAAGAGCGGAAAATGACGATAAGACAGAACACAGCGTGACATCATTGGATACAACCACAGAGGGGAAACCATAAGAGCTGCTGTAATCAGAAAAAAAAAATGCAACAGAACCTACAACACTTGAATTTACACGAGAAAAGTGAATAAGAAAGCTAGAGCATCAAGCACACTCAGATTTCAAAAAAAAATCTACAAGGGAACACCTGAACATACAAAGGAAGAAAAACGCACAACCATTGTAATTCAAACAATAAATAAAAATATGTTGCTGCATACCATCGTAAATCGAACAATAAATATAGACATGCTACACCATTGTTGATACTGAGAATTTATGCAATGGACTATCAATAAAAGGAGCAAAACTAGAATTACAGCGATGCATGCTTCAACATCAAAATTATTTCTGTATTACAAAGTTTTACAGCAGACCTGGAACAGAAGAGCTTGAACTACTGTTTATTATTTTCAGCTGCACTCTCTTCCTTCCCAAGAGCAACCACCACTTTCTTCAAGATGGCTTCAGTTGGTTGGTGGGAGTTCTCCACGGCCTTTGAAATAGGTTGCCATTTCTCACCATGCTTTGGTTCTGCAGCTATGCACCTTTTAAGTACATCTTTCTGGTTCTCATCGGTCCCATGTTGAAGTTCAAATTTGTAGTATAAAGCCCAGAAATCCCCAATATCTGGCGCTAGTGTCACTGCCCTGTTAAGCCAAGTCCTAGCTTTGTCAACCTTCCTGTCATGCCAAAATAACTTAGACACAGCAGCAATGACATGGGGATCATGATCACATTTCTTGAGGGCATCCATACTCTTCGTCTTCCGTTGTGGACGGGGTACCATCTCAATGGACGCAGCCCACAATATACCACTATTGGGACACTCCTGCAAGGCCTTTGCCATCAAGATATCAGCTTCCTTCTTATTTCCATGCCTTAATTCAGCTCGAACAGCAGCAAGCCACAATTCAGGGTTCTGAGGATTCTTCTTCCTGGCCATCGTCAGAATTGCACGAGCTTTACTCAGACCAGTCATCTTCTCTTCAAGATTAGCAAGAGAAAGCCACAGTGGAATAGAACTGGAGCAGTACTTCAGACCCGAATCATAGGCCTCCTTGGCTTTCTCCAAATGACCAAGGCGTTCCTCTAGCTGTCCAAGCATCAACCATAATTTATAAAAGGAAGGGAAGCGCTTCAACCCATCATCAAGCAACTTCCTCTCTGCATTAATGTTCCCTAATTCTCTCTCAACAATTGCTGATTTCATCCACACTCTTTCAGTGCCTCCCTTTTCTCGGGCTTTGGCAAGAAGCATTCTAGCTCTCTCTGGTTCATGGTTCTCAAATTCAAGTTTAAATGCAGCAAGCCAAATTTCTTCAGAATTGGGAATGGCAGCATAAGCTTCTTGAAGGATGGCACGAGCAGCGGGCACATCCCCAGCAAGCCACTTCTCCTTAGCACCCATAAGCCACAAGACTTCAGCCTGTGGTCGGTATGTCACCGCTTTACGAAGTAAAGCATCAAGAGATTCCCTAGTCCCATGGCTCTTTTCAAGCTGTGCGGCTTTGAGCCATATGCTCTTCTTGGTTAAAAAGACAGTAAGTGCGTGTGCATAAATAGCTCTGGCTGTTTCAATGGAACCCCTTTTCTTGCATTCCTCAGCATCAGCAACCCATGTCCTCTTCCTATCCTCTTCCTCCACACCAATCCCAATTGTGTTCCGAATGATTGCTTGGCAAGTTGCAACAGATCCTGCACGCTCAGCAGCTTCAGCCTCCTTCATCCATGCCTCTCTATCAATCGCCAACCCTTCTCTTTGCAAAGCCCTTATACCCCTTTCAATAATCTTCCCAACCATGGCCGTGTTCCCATTAGCTTCCTCCAACTTCGCTGCTGTGATCCAAATGGCAGGCTCTTTTGATAACTTCTCTCTCGCCCTATTAAGGACCTTCCTCGCATTATCATAAGTTTCTAATCTTGCAAGTGCAAGCCATAACTCAATGTGCAAGGGACAACACTCCACAGCCCTATGAAGCAAAAGTCTTGCATCCTCCTCATTGGCAAGCTCCACCACTGCCTTCCATAGCCTAACAGAATCGGGAATGTGTTCCAAACCTTTCCTCAATACCCTGCTCCTATTCAAATCATCACGCTCCAATTTCGCAGCCTGCATCCACAACTTCACCGAATTGGGAATCGACTTCACACCCTTAGAAATCACAGACTTAGCTTCATCAGGGCTTGAAAGCCTACACGCCTCTAACCACACATCCTCACTCTTAGGACATTCTTCACACCCTTTCTGAATCAATTGTCTAGCTGCCTGAATCTTCCCAGCCACCTCCTCCAGCCTTGCAGCCGCAATCCAACCAGGTGGGTGCTTTGGATTCGTCTGTATAACACTCTTAAGCAACAACCTAGCCTTTTTAATATCTGAAATCTCTGCATCACTAGTAATCTTCATGCTCTTAAGATCAGTAAGGTACCCTTTCGGGTCCACAACCGTCAATCCAGAAACAGAATCAGAAAGCCTATCTAATTTCAATGACAAAACAGTACCTCTACCCTCACCTACAGCAGTCAAATCCGTAACCGGAGTTTGAGACCACGGAGTCTCCGTACCACCAGCTCCCCTACTCTTGGGGTCCAATGCCGTAACATGCTCCTTTTCCTGTCTTGCTTTCTCTAAAAGTGTATCGGGCACCGGTACAAAGCTCTCGAATCTCTTCTTCTTGTTCCTCGACGAATAGTCTCCAATTTCCGGTATGCTCTCCCATTCCTGAGCAGACACAGTGTACAACTTCCTCTTCAGAGTGGCAAACTGCTCCGTGATCTTTGGGTTCGAAGCTCTGTACTTTTCAATCTCTTCTTTCAACCGTGCTTCTCTCCTGTCCTTCCTCCGAGAGTCCATTCTTTGCTCAATGGCTTCCCACACCGCATCAGCCTCCTTGTCCTCATCATCGTATTCCGCCGATGCAAACAACCCAACATCATTCCCTTCGAATTCATCAAACTTCTGATTCTCATCGTACCCTTTATCCTCCCCTTCATCCTCCTCCTCTTCGTCGGGCTTCCCGCGCCCTCGGCCGACCCCAGGCGGCGCAGCAGGAGCAGTAGCGCCTCCGATTGTGGTGGCCGACCTATCAGGCAGGTCGGGCGCGGCACGTGCGGGCCCGATATCAGACCTGGTGGTGAAGCCAGTGGCACCACGGCCGAGCCCTGCGACATAATTCGGGGGAGGCTTGGAGTTGAGGAACTCGAGGCGGGGTTTAGGGACGGCGGGAGGTTGGGTGCCGCCGAATAAGGGGATGTGAAGAGTTAGGGTTGAGAGGGGTAGGATTCCGAGGTCGGAGAGGAGGGCGGAGTCGGATTGGGTGAGTAATTGGAGGCTTTGCGAGATGAATAGGCGCTGCAGAGGAATGGGTATGTGGGAATTTTGCTCGATTTGGAGCTTTAGGGCTTGGAGGGTGGTGGTCTTAGGGTTTAGATTTAGGGTTAGGGTTTTGTGATTGGGGGATGTGATGAACACCATGGCGAGATCGATGTGTGATCCTATGCGCGAGACACGATTACTATTTGGGAGAAGTTGGAGGTATATGAATACGGGTCAAGCGTGAGGCCGAGTCGGTTATATATGGGCGGGCTACAAAGCGGGTTCAGGTCGGATGGGACGAGATTTTTATAGAAAGTCGGCTTAGTCTAATTATTTTATTTTTAACATGCCTACTCTTCAACGGTGGTTGACAAAGAATTTAAATGTTAACCTATGGCTAATCCTAGAGATCAAATTGTTTCACTCTTTTCGGAGGTACTTGGCCGCCTAGAAGAATTTCTGGTCTTTCTTTTCTTTAGATGCACAAGCGTGCCATCATTTAGCTTAGATTCGTAAAAAATATGTGACTGTAATTTGTATTTACATCTTTCTTTTGTTTAGATGCGCAAGTGTGTTACCTTTCGGCTTACATTCATAAAAAAGAAGTGAGTGTGATTTGTGTTTACACCCAAGGCTAGGCCGGCTAATTGCCCATTTTTATTTAAGTTGTCACACATTTTAAGTTCAATGAGCCTTATATACTTGTTGACCCTAAAAACTACCTGGCCTACGTGGCGTGCAGGCCGAGTAATCTATGAGCTAACTATGTCCTTCGGTTGTGTGCGTGGCGTGCCAACTCGTCGGCTGAGCTCGGCCGATGAGTAAAATATGTTGATGTCGCGTTGGGTGCACTGCTGATTTATTGATCTTGCGACTATGGCCGAGGAAGGAACTTGTCTCGGCTTTCGAGTTCTAAAGCCTGAAGACAAGGCTGCTAACTTAGATAAGTTCAATATCAAATTCGGCTTCCAATGTGCCGAATGTAGTAACTCGTAACACCTTACTTCGCCGAGAAGGTTGATGAGATGACCTCGACCAACAAGGATTCAGAAATCCTTCTCAACCGAGACTTGGATAGGTAACCAGTCGGCCTCGACGCAGTGCTGTTTATGCCAATTGAAGATGCTGTGAGATCGGCTGATTCTACGACAACAATGCTATTTATGCCAACTGAAGATATTACCGGTTGCCTCCACAGTGCTGTTTATGCCAACTGAAGATGTGTCGGCCAAAAAGAAAATAAAAAAAAATCTCAAAGTTATTGAAAGGGTTTGCGCAGGGCAGTTTTGTGTGTTGAATTGGAGGTCTCCTGAATGCTGCACAACCTTCAGTATTTATAGTGGTGCAATCTATTTGATGGCTTTGTAAAACTATTTGCCGTGTAAATTGCCAATAATATTCCTAAGAATATCTTCAAATATTCCCACGGATTACTATTCAAACTTGGTTAAAATCATGCTATTTGGGCTTAGTTTGTGGCCACGTGCATGCAATCTCATCTTCAAATTAGTCTTTTGATTTGATAATGTCTGACAGCATCCATCATCATCAAAAAGACCTAGCCTCCTTAGGCTTCTTAAATGTCTTCATTATCCAAGATCTTTTATCTTTATCTTAGCATTACCCTATGCTTTCAGTCCAGGTGCATGCAACGAACTTGATATCAAACTTGGAATATAAATCCAAGCTACTCTAATCCGATGCACTGCTAATAACTCCAAATTAATTTAGACTGTTCCGCTTGCTTGGAAATATAATTTGCATCTTATTTATCCCCGCTTAAGAATATGTCAAGATAACTCATTTTAAAAGATAATTATGATAAAAACCATAATATCCTTTAACAAAAATATCTTCACTTTTTCATCCGACGGTTGAGAACTATGCTTAGTCAACGGCCTTGATTACACGGGCCGATGGTGTAAATTTGGGTCCAAACATTGCCCCCAGTTTCCTTGAGCTTCGGCCCGTAAGCCGAATGGTTAAGGAAATTAAGTTTCTCCAGCCGATTAAAATTTGCCGTAGCTCTCAACTGCCAAGGTCGAGAAAATTTTGGAGAGTCGAGAAAAAATAGGGGCCGAGACAAACCACTTCTAGCAGCTCGGCCTATCATCCATCAAAGATGTTGCAATCACTTTTCTAAAACAATTACATTCGGCCAAGTTTGGCCTGTCATTCAACCATCCACTACCGTCATTTGGCTACTATTATCATCGGCCGTCTATTTTAAAGGCCAAGAAAAAAAAAACCTGATTCTTGGTTGTTGGGCCTGCCATAAATCATTGATTCTTAGTAGCTGGGCCTGCCATAAATCATGAATGCTCTCATCACTTCTTGGTAATGGCATCCTGAAAAGCGATATATATATAACCTCTTGACCGGCTGGTGTATATATCTATGGCATCCTGATATGACAAGACATACACACATATATACATTTATATATATATATATATGTATATTAATCCCATGAAATGATATGTTGGCCATGACTATAAAATTTCAAACAAATGCCAACAAATGGCTTTTTGTTAAAACCAAGGCTTGAAATGATGTTGTCAACCATACATGCCTTTATCACACTCCTTTCTAACTTGATGACTAAAACTATAGTCGAAGAAACATGTGATGACTAAAGCCATGGTCAAAGAAACATGTGGTCGAGGACAGTTATGGCTAAGGACAGGAACTGCTGACTTAGTGATTAGGACTACTAAAGCCATGGTCGAAGAAACATGTGGTCGAGGACAGCTATGGCCGAGGACAGGAACTGCTGACTTAGTGATCAGGACTAATCGAAAAATTGGGAAGCCGAGTAATGACCGAGGATTTTATCCTTGGTTGTTGCACTCGGCTGTTTTTAGACAAATCGCTTAAGCAGGAACTCCAATATTTTTATCCTTATTTTCTTATGCATTGGCCGAGAGGCCAAATGGCAAAGAAAATGTTTATTCATCTGTTTTATATACATATATAATGCAATCAAATCTCTGCTTGTCTGCCCCCTATTTTCTTAAGTATCGGCCCGAGCAGCCGAATTGTTAAGAAAATAAGTTATTTATTTAAGAAAACAAAACAAAAGTGGCCGAACTATAAAGTGGAGAGGGCCAACGATGTTTTATTCCGAGCTGAGATCTTTTTACATTAAAATTTTCACTTTGAGATTTTCCAAAGCCGAAGAAAAGATCATCTCCAAATATGTTCGGCTTGAAGGAATATTTTTTATTAGCCGCCGAATGTGTTGAACAATTATTATGCCCCCTAGGCATAATAATTTCGCCAATTTCGGCTTTTAACTCGAACAACTTAGCCAAACGGGATTTCTCCATATCGGCTTTATCACCAATAATCATATCAATTGGCCTGACATTTTCGGCTAGGCCTATGTCTTCAATTACCATATCAATTGATGTGATTTTATGGTTTGAAGCCGTGTATCGGCCTCGTTCATCATTGGAACCTTCATTTGACGAATTATTTTCTGAGTCAATTTTTGGCTCAGAAACTTGAACTTTTTCTTCTAAGCCTTCCACATTTTCAGTCTCGACCAACAAAACAGGTGGCCTAGGTTCTTCTTCGACCGTCATGACAATCTTCTTAGGTTGAATGTTGTTTGTGGCCGGAGCGAAAAATTGCCCCCCGGCCTTTGGACTTAACCATTTTTCAAATGGAATTGATCTGTAATAAGAAACGTAAGGAAAACGATCATCATCTAGCCATGCATTAAATCGAGCCCTGTCTTCATTTACCCATTGCTCTTGCAGGGTAACAGAAGCTTTTATTCTCAACATGTAAGCAAAGGACTTTTGCATCTCTCTATGGCCACGAAGAACACTTCCAAAGATCTTTACATTCCTCATTGTGTTTTTTCAATTCCTCCAGAAGCTCGTATAATCAGCTATGTTGAGCCAGATTGGAATCTTAATATATCATATGAACTTTGTAGTATTAGCACTAGGTCCCACCGGGCATGCCAAAATGTTGACCCTAAAAACTACCAGGCCTACGTGGCGCTAGACCCGGCAGTTTCTGACACGATATGAAAACGACACGAAAATAACGAGTTTCGGGTCAATACGATAACTTATCGGGTCATTATCGGGTGACCCGTTAAGAACCTGTTAATAACGGGTTCTTAACGGGTATACACACGGGTAACACGTGGGTAACCTGTTTCGACCCGTTAAGAAAAAATTTATTTTGATAATTTTAAAGTTTAATTACTAAAAGATTTCTTATAAAATACAATAGTCATATTAATATATACAATATATTCTATATTAAATATATAGTTTTGTATTATTATTCTATATGAGTTTTTAAAAAACAAAGTTTTAGTCATTATTTATTTTTATTATGAGAGCTCCTTATTATCATTACTAGGATAAATTTTACTTAACATGTTGTTGTCCAAAATTAAAATAAACTAATATAGTATTTGTATAGGCAAGAACTAAGAAGACATACATACAAGTATGAAAAATGTGAAAGAATATATAAACACTCGTGATTTACACTTACATTATCGTTTAGATTTTTAAAATCCTCCAAACCTTCATGAATAATGTTTTTTATTTGAGGGAAAAATTAATAAAATTAATAATAATTATTATAAAAGTGTAAAAAAAAAACAAATATACAATCACTCATAGTGACAAACTTTACAACTTTCATGAAGGGGTCAACTTCGAAATCCAACACTATTATTCATAAACCTTAAATTTATATTTAACCGTCAATTGCCATTTACGCTTTATTCTTCTTACTGAATTTCATTTTTAAAATTTTCTTCTTTTGAAAACATGATCATATGGCGGATGTAAGAAGATGAACGGTTCAGATCTTTGATATCACGTTTCGATATTTACGGTTAACTGAAATATGAGTCGATGTCATATAATTTGTCTAAACTTTATAAACATCAAGCAATATTTTCACTAACCGTAAAACTCTGAATATAATATCAACGATCCAAACCTTTCATCTTCCTGCATCCTCTAATAGATCAAGTTTTCAAAAAAGAAAATCTGAAAAAATAAAATTTGATGAGAACAATAAAGCGTAAATGTAAACAACAATCAACGGTTAAATTTTGATCTATGATTTATATGATTATAGTGGCGAATTTCGAAGTTAAGCTCTTCATGAAAGTTGTAAAGCTTGTGTTTACGAGCGTTTATATATATATATATATTTTTTTTTTTTGTTTTTTATTTTTTTTTATATTTTTTTACACTTCTACAT